TTTTTTGTCTATTTACGACTAATAGTTTTAGGTTCAAATTTCCTTTTTGTATTTTCTTCTTGTTTCTTGTCCTATATACTGGTTTATGGTTATCTTTGCGCACCCTCTGTTTCCATAAGACAGTGATTCCAGGTGTGCGGGCTGCCTGCCGTTAGTTTCCAAAAAATCATTGAGGTGGTCATACGTAATGAGTCACGCCTTACTAGGGATATGGTCCGACATTTGAATCATGTAAGTTGTATGATTGTGATTCCAAATTTGTCCATTTCACAATCAGTTAATTGTTTAGGTGGAAGAGAGAGTTCTCGAGGAATTGGCCTGGACCAAAGATAGCGCTCTTTGGACGGCGCTAAGTCGAAAACCTGACAGCGTACCAACATGTGATGAAGCTTGGGGAAATCCAAGGATACTAAATCCGTTAGGCTCGCCACCAAAGAGAATGTCGGTCTATTTATTGTTGTTCTAGTAGTTCTCTAACTGTGATATTCTGTAGGCGTTACGATTCCGAGTCAAATAGCTTTTCCCAGCTACAGTTACCACCTTGCAATGCGCAGAAGTCGTTTTTCAGCAAGGTAATCTAATGCTTATTCTTTTCCATCTTATCTGTGGACTTTTTCAGATATATTACCTAGCCTCAATCCGACTTTCTGATCTTTGCGAGCGGATACGGGTAGACGACCGTGGCCGAAGGATGATGTGGACGGTATTTGAGTACATAGTTAAGGAGGAGCGGTCACTTTTTGTGGACAGGCATCTTGACCAGAACTTGCTATGCATTGTGTGAGTTGTTAAATTAGCTCTGTGTTTTATTTTGTTTTCTTGTCTTTTTTAATGGGAATTTTTTGGAAGACCCTTTTCACCGTTTGGATCTCGCTCAGTCGTTTGCCAAATGGAATGATTCTCTATCCAACCTCCCTGACGCGATCGATTAAAGCAAATCTCAAAAAAATCTTGAAGGCAGCGTCCAGGACCGTTCTGGACCCATGAGGCTCTCACGTGGAAAGTAATCATAAGGCCCTAAATAAGACTCTGCCCAAGCGGCAGCTCAGATA